TTCTTCATAAGGAAGATTTCTAATGCTATGTATTAATTTAGTCATCCTACGCTGAATGTTTTCTAACGAATTTATGTCCATTTTGTAATACGGAGACCAGAACTGAGCTGCATAATCTAGGTGAGGCCTTACTAATGATGTATAAAGCTGCAGTATGACCTCTGGACTTCTGTTGCTTACACTTCTTGATATAAATCCCAGTAATCTATTTGCCTTATTACGTACGCTTAGGCATTGCTGTCTTGGTTTAAGGTTGCTGCTCACCATAACCCCCAAGTCCTTTTCGCAATCTGTATGGCTAAGTTCTACATCATTTAACTTATAAGTACTAGGGTTATGGGGCACTCCCAAGCTTCAGAACCTTGCATTTATCTACATTGAACTGCATCTGCCACTTTTCTGACCAAGAATAGAGTTTGTTTAAATCCTCCTGAAGTTCCATAACATCTACATTTGAGTCAATTATCCTACCTATCTTTGTGTCATCGGCGAATTGCTCATATCACTAGTAATTCCCTCATCAAGATCATTGATATATATTATAAACAACAACGGGCCCAAGACTGATCCCTGTGGAACGCCACTTGTTACAGATCCTCACTCGGATTTAACCCCATTTATGGACACACTCTGCTTCCTGTCAGTGAGCCATGACTCGATCCACGAGAGCACTTTTCCCCCAATGCCATGAGCGTGCCACTTTCTTTAACAGTCTATGGTGCGGAACTCTATCAAAAGCCTTACTAAAATCTAAGTAAATAATATCAAATTCTTTATCGTGGTCAACAGCCTCAAAAGCTTTACTGAAGAAAGTTAATAAATTAGTTAGACAAGACCGGCCTCTTGTGAATCTATGCTGAGTATCATTAATCAAGCTATGCTTATCGAGATGGCTTCTTATAATCTCAGCTATAATTGACTCTAGTAATTTGCCTACAATTGAGGTCAGGCTTATTGGGCGGTAATTTGACGGTAACGACTTGTCCCCTGTTTTAAAAATAGGAATTACATTAGCCATCTTCCACATATCAGACACTACACCTGTTTGAAGAGACTATGGAGCTGAACTCTTCTACAGGCTGAGGGACAATGGACTGATTACATCGTCTAGCATTTCTGTGCCTTCTCTGTACTCGACTGAAGAAGCCTTGCTGTGTAGGCGAAACGTTTCGGAATAGATTTTTCAAGCTGTTGCACATAGTGTCTTAATTACCGTCTTCAGATGGCGTAACACCGCACAAAATGCGGTCCAACGGAATAACTGAAACCCCCGACAGATGGCACTGTAACTTTCTAACAGAATGAACCCAAAGTTATAACAGTAAACAGAGTGCACCAGAGGCCTCCACAGAGAAACCAGAAGCCTCCACAGTGAAACTTCTCTTCCTCAAGGCACGGTACTAGCACCAATTACCTCTCACCTGCACTCCACTGAGTACATTTTGAGAGATCTTGGTGCCAGAAGTCTTGATGTCTGCTGGGAATGATGAGGAAAGTGAAAACTCTTTTGACATTATCCGAGCCTGCAACTTCCCCGTCTGAAAAAAGTCTGCTAGTGTACGACAATATTCTAGTCTAGACTGTGATATCGACATCTGCGTCATCCCTACCTGGAGTATACCTGGAAGGTCTTCCGGGGGTCAACACCCCTGCGCCCAGTCCTTGACCAGACCTCCCGGTGGATCAGGACCTGATCAACCAAGCTGTTATTGCTGCACACACTCCAAACTGGGCCACTAGTGTACAACAATATTCCAGACTAGAAAGCAAGAACCTTCAAGAACAATAGAACATCGTTTATGTGGCATCTCCTTTTTTTTTCAAAGTTCTTATTATCCAGTAACCTTGTACAGGTAGACAGACCTGCTGACGCTTAACCAATTCCTAATTCAAAGTCGAAAATCAAAAGCTTGTTTATTCTTCCAAGTTCAAAGATCAAAACTGTTCTCTTCTCGAAACACTGGAAAATATGTCGCATGTTCCTTCCGCTGCATGACAAACTGTCACTGTATTTTGTATCCTGCAGACGGGGTGAGATTTTCTTTTTTTTTTCTAACCTTGAAGACGTTTGCAATTTGACGCAGTTAAACGTTGTTATTTTCTGCCGCTCAGTGAAAGATTTTTGTTGATAATAGATTAGAATTTTTTTCCGAGTCTCTCATTTTAATGTAAATATTACGCATATTTTGGTATTATTAGCAATATATGATACGAAGCCGAGGGTTGGTGGTTTATGTCTGAAGTGAGGGTGAGGAAGTGCATAGGAGTTGAGACAGTGACCTGTGGCACTGACAGTGACCTGTGGCACTGACTGCGATGTGGGAGGTGTTAGGACACTGCCTTGAGGCAGTGAATTTTAAACTGGACTAAAATAAGAGCTTTGAGGTTAATCTTTTAGTGGTCCTGGGGATTATCTTCCCCAGGGCTGGGTCTGAGACCAGGTCTCCTGGGCTGGGAAGTGTTAGTGGTCCTGGGGATTATCTTCCCCAGGGCTGGGTCTGAGACCAGGTCTCCTGGGCTGGGAAGGGTTAGTGGTCCTGGGATTACTTCCCCAGGTGGTCTGACAGGTCTCCCGGGCTGGAAGTGTAGTGTCCTGGGAATTACCTTCCCTAGGGCTGGGTCTGAGACCAGGTCTCCTGGGCTGGGAAGTGTTAGTGGTCCTGGGGATTACCTTCCCTAGGGCTGGGTCTGAGACCAGGTCTCCTGGGCTGGGAAGTGTTAGTGGTCCTGGGGATTACCTTCCTAGGGCTGGGGATCTGAGACATGGTCTCCTGGGTGGGAAGGATTTAAGAACTATTAAAAAGCCACATAGTGAAGGGAAGACTTTGTATGTATAACTGAGTGTAAATAGAAGTTTGTAAGACTTGCCTGTCATCCTAAGTGGTCATGAGACAGTAAGATTTACCTGTCATCTTAAGTGTTCATGAGACAGTGAGAGTTACCTGTCATCTTACGTATTTATGAGACAGAAAGATTTAGGAGTCATCTTAAGTGTCCACGAGGCAGAGATTTACCTGTCATATACTTCTTCACGAGACATAAAAATTTACCTGTCATCTTACTCCTGCCGGAGTACGCAAACATTAACTAATATCCATTTCACACTTGCTTGACAGGAGGGTAGTACCTTCCCTGGATGGTTCCATCTCCCCTTGGACGCATCCCAGGGAAGTAGAATTGAAGATTTCAACCATTAAACACTGCAGTCACTAAGAGTTGCTTATCGAATGTAACCCAGACTTGAAGAACTGTCTTCCGCACACCCTCGTCTAATTTCGTCAATGATTTTGTGGGTGATCTGATAGGTATGTGAGATGCGGGATCCTTCTACTTTAAAAGTCTTGTTGATTTTCCGCAGAAGAGGCTGACGGAGGAGCTCCTCCCTCTGAGTACTGATGTGTGATATTACTGGTAGCAAAATTAATTTTTTTGATCCTCTCTGTTTGCTTCCCTTGCCTAGCGTGACTACGTCTACTGTAAGGGTTAATAAAGTGGAGATACTTAGAACAGAGTAAGCTTTTTTTAAGGCAACGTTTAGTTCGAGGAAAGCTATAATTAAGCTCTGCGCGAAACGTTGTCTTAAAAAAGGCGAAGTTTCTATCGTAACATTGTCTGTCGACCATTGTCTAAGATACGATGGTCAGGAATCAGAAATTAATTTAAAAAAAATTAATATAGAATTTAACGACATTCTTGCTGCATCTTAGACACTCATACCACCTCAGTCCATCACTGTTAGCATATTTACTAGAAGAGGTAAGCCCGTCGGGGTCAGGGTAGGTGGGCGATGCTGGTGCTATACCGCCACAATGACCCTTACGTCCAACAAGAGATCCATGAATTCTGTCATCCCGACCCGTGGACTCAGCAGCACAGATAAAGTTGCTATTATGCTGGAATTATCGTCTCATGATGACCTATCACACACACACTCACACACACACACACACACACACACACACACACACACACACACACACACACACACACACACACACACAGATGAAGTGAGACATTTAGTGTCGTAATATATAGAGTGCCTGGCATTGTTTCCTTATCGGTACCACATTGTTTTGATCACGATAAATACCAGAACTGTTTACATTGTATGCATCACATTATATTTATATATAATATATAATATTATATATATATATATATTATATATATATATATATATATATATATATATAATATATATATATACTTAAGGCTGTGCGTATATGTTGCATTAATGCAGGTGTGTGTGACGCAGTAGAGAGAGCTCTTGTGCACTTGTGACAACAGGTGTTGTGACTGTTGTATACGGAAGTATGAAATATACTGTGGACGGTAGGAGAGCGTGTATGATCGCTCGTGTGTATTATACGTTATATAATGTTTAGAGTTGAACTTCAGTTTCTATCTCGACTAATTGAGCAATTTGGGCTATAATTTGGAGCTCTGCTGAAAGTTATTTTTAATTCGACGAAGGTTGAGAAGTGAGCCTTGCGTGTGTTGTGTGTGTGTGTGTGTGTGTGTGTGTGTGTGTGTGTGTGTGTGTGTGTGTGTGTGTGTGTGTGTGTGTGTGTGTGTGTGAGAGAGAGAAAGAAGATACGACTGAATACAGATTTTGAGGCATTATGTTCACTCGTAGTGGGGGTCACATACCGCCTGGTGGAAGAACGTTTCGCCCTCCCCCCTTCCTCTATCCCTCACCCCCCTAAGGAAGGGAAGGATAGAGCTGTCATCCATCCCCCCAAACCCCTGAAAGAGGACTGGAAACCGTAGTGTTGAAAGCAACACAAATGGGAGAGGACCCAAGAAATCGCCCTGCAACACTCCTCACGTTTCACACACAATTCCTCACGTTCCACGCAGTATTTCCTCACCTTCCACGCCGTAGTTTGACTAACGCGAACACATTCACAGCACACACGCTCACCAAACACGTGCGCTAGCGTGGACAAGTCAATTCAGACATATGCCTGGGATAACAACATGCGCTACGCTACACTCACCTCTCCCGGAGCGCCCGACGAAGCGCAGGTCGTTGAATTTGGCGATCTGGTTCTTCATGACGGCCGAGTTGTTGCGCAGCTCGGCGCAGAAGTTCTCGTCGTTGCCTGCGCGTACGGTGACGAGAGTTCCGTCGCCCACCTCGCCAAGGGCGATCACCTTGAAGGCTACGGGTAAGGTCTTGTTCGATCGCCAGTGTGGAGGGAGGATAGTGCACACGAAGTTAGGACTCCCAGTGCGCACTAACTCCCCAGGATGCTCCCCTAGCAGGTCCGTCAGTGCGCGTTCTGACCACCAGCAGTCACCCATATCCTCGCCTAAGTGCATCCTGCGCTCAACCCGTAAGGGCCACACACCCCCACCCCCCCTAGCTAACACTGTTTACACTGCGCTACACCCACATTGGTTTACACTGCTGCGCTGCCGCCGCCGCCCCCCGCTCGCTGCGCAGGGGACGACTGCCCCCCACCACCTCCTCACCACGTGTTTCTGCTGCGCCCGCTTCAGTGCCACTGGCTGCGCAGTGGTCAGGAACCACCGATGTGACCGCAGGCGGTGGTTGCGGGTGTGTCAGAGGTGAGTGCTGCGGGCGCCGCGTGCGGCTGTGTCCTCAGGCCTCGCGGGTTCACCACTGAGCCCCGCTGGCCGCCGCAGCCGCCGCAGCAACACACACTCTCAGCGCACCGCCCACACCGCCGCACCAGCGCATGCGCATACTTACCTTCCTCCCCCCCACACACTACCTGCCCCAGCGCATGATAAAACGTTCATATTTCAACGTTCCTTCTTGCCGCGGTCAAGAACATCTCTGTCAAGATCATCACGGACGTGTCATGGGTATCACTGTCAAGGACATCACTGTCAAGAACATCACTGTCAAGAATATCACTGTCAAGGATATCACTGTCAAGGACATCATTGTCAACGACATCACTGTCAAGGACATCACTGTCAAGGACATCACTGTCAAGAACATCACTGTCAAGGATATCACTGTCAAGGACATCACTGTCAAGGACATCACTGTCAAGAACATCACTGTCAAGGACAGCACTGTCAAGGACATCACTGTCAAGGACATCACTGTCAAGGACATCACTGTCAAGGACATCACTGTCAAGGACAATACTGTCAAGGACACGTATTGAAGTTCCTGGGGTTATGCTACAGCTCCTGGGACCCTCTGACACCCTTCACCTGACTGACAAATATGTACGCCAATGCCTTGCCTGCTGTCGTACCTATTTCTGAAGGTGCGTATCTTTTTTTGTTATATTTCCACGAACCTTACGAACAAAAGGTTCGTGTACGTGTGTATGTGTATATACATCAAGGTATGTACGTATCAGCGTGTATGTACCAGTCAGGCTGGACGCGTGGCCCAGCAACTGGCTCTTAGAATTTAACCCCGCCAAATGCAAAGTCATGAAGATCGGGGAAGGGCGAAGAAGACCGCAAACAGAGTATAGGCTAGGTGGCCAAAGACTGCAAACCTCACTCAAGGAGAAAGATCTTGAGGTGAGTATAACACCGAGCATGTCTCCGGAAGCCCACATTAACCAAATAATTGCTACAGCATATGGGCGCCTGGCAAACCTGAGAATAGCGTTCCGATACCTTAGTAAGGAATCGTTCAAGATACTATACACTGTGTACGTCAGGCCCATACTGGAGTATGCAGCTCCAGTTTGTAATCCATACCTGGTCAAGCACGTCAAGAAATTAGAGAAAGTGCAAAGGTTTGCAACAAGACTAGTCCCAGAGGTAAGGGGATTGTTCTACGAAGAAAGGTTGAGGGAAATCGGCCTGACGACACTGGAGGACATGAGGGTCAGGGGTGACATGATAACGACATACAAAATACTGCGTGGAATAGACAAGGCGGACAGAAACAGGATGTTCCAGAGATGGGACACAGAAACAAGAGGTCAAAATTGGAAGTTGGAGTTTCAGATGAGTCAAAGGGATGTTAGGAAGTATTTCTTCAGCCACAGAGTTGTCAGGAAGTGGAATAGTCTGGTAAGTGATATAGTGGAGGCAGGAACTATACATAGCTTTAAGACAAGGTATGATAAAGCTTATGGAGCAGGGAGAGGGAGGACCCAGTAGCGGTCAGTGAAGAGGCGGGGGCCAGGAGCTGAGCCTCGACCCCTGCAACCATAATTAGGTGAGTACACACGCATATTATATATGTATATATATATATAATATATATATATATATATATATATATATATATATATATATATATATATATATATATATATATATATATAAAATAATTGCCTTGACTCACACAATGGGTAATATCTATCTTCAACGTCTATTTAGAGATATTAAAAAAAATCGAATTCTGCCTTTTAGAATTTTCAATTTTCTGGGATTATGTTGGATGTCATCAGAGAGCGTTTTATAGATGAGCTCCGGAGAGCTGTGAACCCGCGAGTGTTTGGTACACCGTGTGTAGAGCTTTATATTAGTTATGTTTCACTCTGTGTAGAGCTTTATATTAGTTATGGTTCACTCTGTGTAGAGCTTTATATTAGTTATGGTTCACTCTGTGTAGAGCTTTATCTTAGTTATGGTTCACTCTGTGTAGAGCTTTATATTAGTTATGTTTCACTCTGTGTAGAGCTTTATCTTAGTTATGGTTCACTCTGTGTAGAGCTTTATATTAGTTATGTTTCACTGTGTAGAGCTTTATCTTAGTTATGGTTCACTCTGTGTAGAGCTTTATATTAGTTATGTTTCACTGTGTAGAGCTTTATCTTAGTTATGGTTCACTCTGTGTAGAGCTTTATATTAGTTATGGTTCACTCTGTGTAGAGCTTTATCTTAGTTATGGTTCACTCTGTGTAGAGCTTTATCTTAGTTATGTTTCACTCTGTGTAGAGTTTTATCTTAGTTATGTTTCACTCTGTGTAGAGCTTTATCTTAGTTATGGTTCACTCTGTGTAGAGCTTTATATTAGTTATGTTTCACTCTGTGTAGAGCTTTATCTTAATTGTTTCACTCTGTGTAGAGCTTTATCTTAGTTGTTTCACTCTGTGTAGAGCTTTATCTTAGTTGTTTCACTCTGTGTAGAGCTTTATCTTAGTTGTTTCACTCTGTGTAGAGCTTTATCTTAGTTGTTTCACTCTGTGTAAAGCTTTATCTTAGTTGTTTCACTCTGTGTAGAGCTTTATCTTAGTTGTTTCACTCTGTGTAGAGCTTTATCAAATCATGTTTTTGACACCTCTTTTTGACACCTGTTCCTGTCACCTACTCCTGACACATACTCCTGACACCTGTTCCTGACAGTTGTTCTTCACAGATGTTCCTGACATGTGTTCCTGATAGTTGTTCCTGTCACTTACCCCTGACATTTGTTCCTGACAAGTGTTGCTGACACAGGACCGTGTCAACCCACCCGTCAGCAGACTGGTTACCAGCGCATGACTGTCTTAACGCACTGTTTTTTCTCACGACCTTCACAGTAGACAGTCATGGAATTGACGTGGCGGCGCCTGGTGACGTCACGGACTTCCAGGTCGTGACGTCACAGAGTTCCAGGTCCTGACGTCACAATGTTTACATTTCCCGTCTCGTGACGTCACTAAAAAAATCCAAGATGGCTGACGCATCCGGGTCCCGAAATGTCCTTTTCAGGAAGAATTTCTTGGTGCAAAAAAGACTCTACTTGCAGATTTAGCCTTCTGACACAAACGTTTCGCACTTATTAGGGGCGAAACGTGCGTAAATATTGAAGGAGACCCCGTGGTGTGTGTGTGTGTGAGAGCTGTCAAGTGAGATAGAGAACTATCATATGTGATAAAATAGCGAAACGTGCCTACAATCTGCAGGATAAGCTTTCAGGGGGATGACGTTTCGCTCTCTGTAAGAGTTGAGACCTGAAAATGGTCGTTGGACCATTGTCAGGTTGTCTTATGGTTCCTCTGGTGAGACTTTTGTTCCGGCCAAGGTATTGCGACCTTCGCTGTTCCGGTTATGGTATTGCGAACTTTCATGCTTTTGCGTGCAAGAGAGCGAAACGTTGACCCAGTGAGGGTATTCCGGGGGTCAACGCCCCGCTGCCTGGTCCATGACCAGGCCTCGCGGTGGGTCAGGGCCTCATCAACCAGGCTGTTACTTCTGGCCGCACGTAAACCGACGTATGAACCACAGGCCGGCTGGTCAGGAACTGACTTTAGGTGCCTGTGAAGACAGCCAGGGGTCTTTAAGACAGCCACGAGTCTTTAAGACAACCAGGGGTCTCGAAGACAGTCAAGGGTGTTGAGGACAGCCAGGGGTCTTGAAGACAGCCAAGGGTTTTGAAGACAGCCAGGGGTCTTGAATTCAGCCAGAGTTCTATTGGTAATCCTCCTTTTGTATGTTGGGAGGCTGTTGAACAGTCTTGGGCCCCTGACGCCTATTATGTTGTCACTTAGCGTATTCCTGGCGCCCTTGCTGTGCAATGTTGCATCGTCTGCCCACTCTTTCGCTTTCGAAAAAATCTTAATTATGTACTACCTCACTAACTTGTAACACCATGTACCACCTTGTAACACCATGTACTACCTTGTAACACCATGTACCACCTTGTAACACCATGTACCACCTTGTAACACCATGTACTATCTTGTAACACCATGTACCACCTTGTAACACCATGTACCACCTTGTAACACCATGTACCACCTTGTAACACCATGTACTACCTTGTAACACCATGTACTCCCTTGTAACACCATGTACTACCTTGTAACACCATGTACTACCATGGTATCACTTAACAGGATGGTATCTATAGGCGTATTTAGGGAATGCTGAAAGTTATCTCTGGGCGATAACACTATAGTTAGTGCAGTTATCACTGATAACTCCGTTAACACCTGTCGTAGATACCTGTCGTAGATACCTGTCGTAAATACCTGTCGCAGATGCCAGTCGTAGATACCTGTCGTAGATACCTGTCGTAGATACCTGTCGCCGATACCTGTCGTAGATACCTGTCGCAGATGCCAGTCGTAGATATTTGTGAACGTAGATAGTTGGAACTTGTTAGAGGTAAGAGGTATTAGCATGGAGGTATCTAACAAGATAACTAGCTAGGAAATAACTCAAGGGAGAGGGAGAGAGAGAGAGAGAGAGAGAGAGAGAGAGAGAGAGAGAGAGAGAGAGAGAGAGAGAGAGAGAGAGAGAGAGAGAGAGAGCGAGGGAGGGAGGGAGGGAGGGAGGGAGGGAGAGAGAGAGCGAGGCATACCAGATGAGGTAGGTATTGCAGGTACAGTAGAAGGCGAGAGGGGAGAGTACCATCTGAGAGTACCACCTGAAGATCTGCTGGTCGCTACCGCTCTCACCGTGTCTTGTGCTGGCATTTGCCTCATTATACAGGCTAAATACTGTACATAGGCTATAATACACTGTAAGTGCCAGCATGTTTTGATAAAAAAATAAAATATTAATTCCCTGTTGTCTTGTGCTCGTTCCTGGATGGTAATGGCCTTACAACCAGGTGTGCAGGCCATATCTACACCTGTGTACGTAATATCTATCTGAAAGTTGCATCTGCTACCTTATTAACAACCACAACTGGAATTACTACTACTACTACTACTACTACTACTACTACTTCTACTACT